TAAAGGGGAAATCACCACAGATCCCACAGAAATTCAAACCACCATCAGAGAATATTACAAACAACTCTGTGCACATTAACTAGTAAACCTGGAAGAAATGGATAAATTCCTGGACACCTGTGTCCTTCCAAGCCTAAACCAGGAGGAAGTCAAAACTATGAATAGACGAATAACAAGGTCTGAAGTTGAGGCAGTAATTAAGAGCCTACCACACAAAGCCCAGGTCCAGGTGGTTCACAGCCGAATTCTACCAGACACACAAAGAGGAACTGTTACCATTCCTTCTGAAACTATTCCAAATAATTCAAAAAGAGGGAATCATTTTATGAGACCAATATCATCCTGATACCAAAACCTGGCAGAGACTCAACAAGAAAAGAAAACTTCAGGCCAATATCAATGATGAACATGGACGCAAAAATCTTCAATAAAATACTGGCAAGCCGATTGCAACAGCACATCAAAAAGCTTATTCACCATGATCAAGTAGGATTCATCCCAGTGATGCAAGGCTGGTTCAACATACGCAAGTCTGTAAACGTAATTCACCACATAAACAGAACCAAAAACAAAATCCACATGATTATCTCAATTGATGCAGAGAAGGCATTCGACAGAATTCAACAGCCTGTTATGCTAAAAACCCTCAATAAACTCAATATTGATGGAATGTATCTCAAAATAATAAAAGCTATTTACGACAAACCAACAGCCAATATCATACTGAATGGGCAAAAACTGGAAGCATTCCCTTTGAAATCTGGCACTAGGCAAGGATGCCCTCTCTCACCACTCCTATTCAATATAGTACTGGAAGTTCTAGCCAGAGCAATCAGGCAAGAAAAAGAAATGAATGGTAATCAGATAGGAAAGGAGGAAGCCAAATTGTCTCTATTTGCAGACGACATGATAGTATATCTAGAAGACCCCATCGTCTCAGCCCCAAAACTCCTGAAACTGGTAAGCAACTTCAGTAAAGTCTCAGGATACAAAATCAATGTGCAAAAATCACAAGCATTCCTATACACCAATAACAGGCTTAAAGAGAGCCAAATCAAGAATGAACTACCATTCACAATTGCTACAAAAAGAATAAAATACCTAAGAATACAACTCACAAGGAACGTAAAGGACCTCTTCAAGGAGAACTGCAAACCACTGCTCCACAAAATAAGAGAGGACACAAACAGATGGAGAAACATTCTATGTTCATGGTTAGGAAGAATCAATATTGTGAAAATGGCCATACTGCCCAAAGTAATTTACAGACTCAATGCTATCCCCATCAAGCTACCAATGACCTTCTTCACAGAACTGGAAAAAACCACCTTAAACTTCATATGGAACCAAAAGAGAGCCCACATAGCCAAGTCAATTCTAAGCAAAAAGAACACAGCAGGAGGCATCATACTACTGGACTTCAAACTATACTACAAGGCTACAGTAATCAAAACAGCATGGTACTGGTTCCAAAACAGAGATACAGACCAGTGGGACAGAACAGAGGCATCAGAGGCAACACAACATATCTACAACCATACAAATCTTTGATAAACCTGACAAAAACAAGCAATGGGGAAAGGATTCCCTGTTTAATAAATGGTGTTGGGAAAACTGGCTAGCCATGTGCAGAAAGCAGAAACTGGACCCCTTCCTGACACCTTACACTAAAATTAACTCCAGATGGATTAAAGACTTCAACATAAGACCTGGCACCATAAAAACCCTAGAAGAAAATCTAGGCAAAACCATTCAGGACATAGGAGTTGGCAAGGACCTCATGACTAAAACACCAAAAGCATTGGCAACAAAAGCCAGAATAGACAACTGGGACCTAATCAAACTCCACAGCTTGTGCACGGCAAAAGAAACAGTCATTAGAGTGAATCGGCAACCAACAGATGGGAAAAAATTTTTGCAGTTTACCCATCTGACAAAGGGCTGATATCCAGAATTTACAAAGAACTCAAACAGATTTACAAGAAAAAAACAAGCCCATTCAAAAATGGGCAAAGGATATGAACAGACACTTTACAAAAGAAGACATACATGAGGCCAACAAACACATGAAAAAATGCTTATCATCACTGGTCATTAGAGAAATGCAAATCAGAACTACATTGAGATACCATCTCACGCCAGTTAGAATGGCGATCATTAAAAAATCTGGAGACAACAGATGCTGGAGAGGATGTGGAGAAAAAGGAACACTTTTACACTGTTGGTGGGAGTGTAAATTAGTTCAACAATTGTGGAAGACAGTGTGGCGATTCCTCAAGGACCTAGAAATAGAAATTCCATTTGACCCAGCAATCCCATTACTGGGTATATATCCAAAGGACTATAAATCATTTTACTACAAGGACACATGCACACGAATGTTCATTGCAGCACTGTTTATAATAACAAAGACCTGGAACCAACCCAAATGCCCATCGATGATAGACTGGGCTCGGAAAATGTGGCACATGGAGTATTATGCAGCAATCAAAAACGATGAGTTCGTGTCCTTTGTAGGGACATGGATGAATCTGGAGAACATCATTCTCAGCAAACTGACACAAGAACAGAAAATGAAATACCACATATTCTCACTCATAGGCAGGTGATGAACAATGAGAACACATGGACACAGGGAGGGGAGCACTACACTCTGGGGTCTATTGGGGGGAATAGGGGAGGGACAGCGGCGGGGGGAGTTGGGGAGGGATAGCATGGGGAGAAATGCCAGATGTGGGTGAAGGGGAGGAAGACAGCAAATCACACTGCCACGTGTGTACCTATTCAACTATCTTGCATGTTCTGCACATGTACCCCAAAACCTAAAATGCAATAAAAAGCAGGGGGCAGACCGTCAACTGGGCACTGTGGCTCACGCCTGTAATCCCACCACTTTGGAAGGCTGAGGCAGGTGGATCGCTTGAGCTCAGGAGTTCAAGATCAGCCTGGGCAATGTGGCAAAATCAGATCTCGACAAAAAAATTAGTCCGGTGTGGCGACTCATGCTTGTAATCGCAGCTACTTGGGAGGCTGAGGTGGGAGGATTGTTTGAGCCCTGGAGCCAGAGGTTACAGTGAGCGAAGATCGCATTGCTGTATTCCAGCCTGGGTTAACAGTGGGAGACCCTATCTCAAAAAGAAAAATCAGTTGACGAGGGGACCAACATGGACTAAACTGAGGCAGTAGCAGTAGGGATGAGATGACAGATAAAAAAATATTTAAGCTGTGGTCAGGTGCAGTGGCTCATGAGGTCGGGAGTTCAAGACCAGCCTGGCCAAGATGGTAAAATCCCATCTCTACTAAAACTACAAAAATTAGCCAGGTGTGGTGGCAGGTGCCTGTAATGCCAGCTATTCAGGAGGCTGAGGCAGGAGAATTGCCTGAACCTGGGCAGCAGAGGTTACAGTGAGCAGAGATCATGCTACGGTGCTCTAGCTTGGGCGACAGAGTGAGACTCCTCCATCTCAAAAAAAAAAAAAAAAAAAAAAGCTATAAAACAATAGGTCTTCGGAGTGAGATTTATTATTTTAAGCGATGTTTATTCAGAGAGGTAAAATGGGAGAAACTGGCTACAGAGGTAGAAAATGCATATGTAGTCTACCTCTGCATATGGAACATCAGGACAGAAGCTTCCAAAAGGCATTTGTTTATATAAGCCAAGAGCTGTCAGCATAAAATGAGTGGTGGCTAAAATATGGGAACATATGATTGATGTCCCAGGGAGAATGCTGAGTGGAGATTCAAGCTCAGAAACCTCAGGACCATCCATATGCAAAGCAAGGCAACAGAAGAAGAGCTTCAAGTACAACCAAAAGATATTGACATTAGGAAGATCAAGAAGAGTGCCTTGACTCAAATTTTTGTAATTGTTGAAGGAAACAACATATTGCTCTGTTCACTCATAGAATTGACTGCACACCTCTTCTGTGCCAGGCTTTGTGCTAGGCACTGGGGAAATAGAAGAGACTAAGACAGACATTGACGCTCACATTAGAATATGGGGAGACATAAGAATGAGCAAACAAAAAATACTAGATAGTGCTAAGTAGGATAATGTGAAAGTGTGACTAGATGGTTCTTTAAATTGGGTTGTCTGGCCAGGCCTTCTCTAAGGTGATTTGTAAGCCTTAACATCCGAGGCATTGCTTTCTGAGTGACAAGGAGGAGCCAGGCATGTGTGAAGCAGGGGCACAGCAAGTGGTGCAGACAGAAAAATCAACGAGGTGTGTCTGAGATACCAAAAAAGACCAGGGTGTTATACCTAACACTGTAAAAAATAAATACAAATTAAAAAAAAAAAAAAAAAAGGCCAGGGTGAATGTGTTGAAGTTGGAGAAAGTGATGGGCTGGGAGAAAATACAAGAGTGGGTTGTGTGGCCGGGCTCAGTGGCTCAGCCTATAATCACAGCACTTTGAGAGGCCGAGGCAGGTGGATCAGGAGTTTTGAGACCAGCCTGGCCAACATGATGTAATTCCCATCTCTACCGAAAGTACAGAAATTAGCTGGGTGTGGTGGTGCATGCCTGTAGTTCCAGCTACTCAGAAGGCTGAGGCAGGAGAATTGTTTGAACCTGGGAGGTGGATGTTGCAGTGAGCCAAGATTGCGCCACTGCACTCCAGCATGGGTGACAGAGCAAGACTCTTGTCTCAAAGAAAGAATAAAAGAGTGGGTCATGCAAGACTTTGGAATCTGGCATAAGGTATTTGAATTTTACTATAAGTGAATAGAATTGTTGGGGGCACATAATGAGTTTTGGTGATGAGGCGACTCAGAAGTGGTTCTGGCTATAACTGATCCATTGCTTTAAACTTCCTTGACATAACACTGTATTTCCCCCCTAAAAGGTCAAAGTTTACATAGTACAGGGTATCTGTCAGATGCTTTCAGGCAGGTACTGAAGTTTGGAAATCTGAGTCATAAGTAATGATTATTTAAGGCCAGTTATAAATCTGTCTCTAAACAGTGACTTACCATAAACCATTTGTCACCCTCCCTCCAGGAAACAGGTTTCAGCCACTAAGGCTGAAGCAGAAAAGGATGGAGTGAAGGTCCCCACAACCCTGGCGGAATACTGCATCAAAACTAAAGTGCCTTCCAACGACAACAGCTCAGATTTGCTTTACGACGACTTGTATGATGACGACATTGATGATGAAGATGAGGAGGAGGAAGATGCCGACTGTTATGATGATGATGATTCTGGGAATGAGGAGTCGTGACGTGCTCCTTCAGTGCCCCTGTACTGCCCTGCCGTCTCAGGCCAAAGGGAGGGGAGCAAGTGGGGACCTGGCCATGGCCCCTCAGCAAAAACCTATTCACAGTGGGCGGGGAAACACACAGCTCCTGCTGACTCCCCTTATGGATCTCAGTTTCCTCCTTTTTATGGACCTTTAATGGAGAGAGAGTAACCCTCCACAGAATGTCTGAATTCTTGCATTCTTTACCCTTCCATCACTGTATTGATTCTTTTTTTAAAAAACATCAACCCAAACTCCCGCCTCACTCCGTCTCTACAGAATGTTCACAGCAAAACACGTTTGGTCTGTTTTTAGATTCTTGAAGAATTAAATAGTCTTTCAAGATGTTTAATGTGTTTAAAGCTGAAACCTGTTGGGAGTTCACAAGTGCTGCATATACTGGGTAGCAAAAGAAAATGGAAAAAAAAAAAACTCACAAAACAAACTTAAAAAAAAAAAAAGCAAATTTGCCAAGGTTTAGCTGCTCATTTACATTAGCCTGTGTGCATTCGTTCAGCCCCAAGGTGGTGAGTTTTGTTTCTTTCCCTTCCTAAGGCTGGGATATGGTGGGTGTCAGGGACTTTGTGCTAAGCCTGATGAAATATGCTCCTCCAATCTCCATGAAATCATCCTAAAACATGGAGGCCTCAGCTATTCTGAGGAGAGAAATCAGACTTTGTTTTTTGAAATCGATTGGGATGGAAAGCCTGAAATAAATATTCATACTTTACATAGAACTGAGCACTTGGTTGCTGTTTATTGCAGGGTTGTTACTCCCTCCCCCCCCGCCCCCCAGGGAGTGGGGCAAGTTGGGAAGTTGGGATGAGTGTGTGGGGGTGGACTTAGTGATGGGAACAAAGAGTTAAAAATCACTACGCTGTTTGGTTGATGCTACTGGTGGCCACCGTTGGGAGAGGAACCATCTGTTTTATATTTAGCATGGCCTTCCCATCAGAAATACACTCTTACCATGTCGTTTTGTTTCTTGTTTTTTCAGGAGCCACCTTTAATTACTCAGTATTAATCCTAGGTGCATGTGTTAAGATTTCGGTTTTCATCGAGCTGCTTATACTGATTGGTAGTGAAAAACATGGATGTGTGTGAGACAAGTTGCCAGTTCTCGCTGTCTTCATTGGATGCGAGCTGGACTTTTTTTCTCCTTTCAACATACTTGGGCTGTGGAGCGCAAGCAGAATTTGTGCATAGAGCTCCCCTTGGGATTGTGTCTTGTGGCTGAGGGAGTTGACTGCAGGCAGTTTTTAGGCCAGGTAAGGCTATATATTCCTGTGATGCACTCGCTGCAGCTTTGATTTTCCAGATCTCTGTCGTGTTGCTTCAATTAGTATTGAGATCCAGCAGCCTTCACCATCGAGGGACTTCAGAACTTGAAGGTGATTTTTGGATGTTATGGGGGTGCACCAAATCATAGGAGGGCATTATTCTTTGGAGGAAACCGCTATAATGTAAAATCAGGTTTCAGAAGGAAAATGTAGCAAGGACTGACTGTAGTCCTACTTCAGACCCCTGGGCACTAGTGTCAACTCCTCCTTCGGCTCACAACTCAGAACCAAAGGGCAGATTAGGGACAGGGGCAGAAGGGAATCTTAGGCCAGAGTAGGTGACACTTACTTCCTTAGCTCCTTCCTCCTTCTGTTCTGATCTCAGGGTTTTCACTCTTCAAACTTCCAAACACATGACTTCTTCCCAGCAGCCCTTCCTGACCTCTGAAGTTTGGTCTGGTATGAAATAAGAATCTTTAACATGCAAAGAGTCTTATGGGTCACTGAGCCTGGTCCCAGAATCTATGATCTCCATAGGGCCAGGGCTACTACTTGTGCCCAGAATCTAGTGATTCCAGTCAGATCCATGGAACAGATCAGCTTTGTAGTATGTTGTCAAGTTGCCTGATTACAAACTCTGACAGATGTTGGAACTACCTTTTTACTCCCCATACTTCTTAAGTAATGCTTCCAGGTTAACCTGCAAATCTGGATCCAAAGCCTCTCTCAGTGCTCTGATTTCTCCCCAAAACTGCCCCCAAGACCTCCATTCAAGTTTACAGCCAGTAGCTTGGTCTTGCTCTATTGGAGCCCTAAAATTAAGCCTTTCATTCCCCTTACTGCTAAAGCATCTCACTCGCAGGGCAGGCCCAGCACCCTGGCATTGTGGGAGGTGCTCTGCTGCACAGCTCTGTTCCATCAGGCCCTATTGGCCTCTGTTACACATTGACTCAGGGAGCCAGAGCGCCAAGTGGAGGTTCCTCTCAGCCCTTTGGGGTGTTACTATCAAGGGCTGGGTTTGCCTCTGATAAGTAGTCAGTTCCAGAAGACTGGGTAAGTCTCTTGCTAGTAGGTGGACGTTCTGATATTTTAGACTGACTTAACAAAACCCAGAGGCTAGTGCCAGAGCTCTGTCCCCGAGAACACATCCTGTGGAAAAACACTTGAGTTTGTAATTTTTTTCTTTTTGGGAGTCGAGGTCTCAGGCTCAACCTGGAATCATGCGCGTACAGTTGTACTTATTATTTGGTGTGACATAAATTCAAAATCCCGCATTTTTAGATTCCTTGAGGCCTCACTGGATGCTCTTCAGTTTTGTGTATTTTGAGGCTGGATGAAGAACATCTATCTTGTTGCTGTTTCAATCTTCCCCTCTTGTCCTTATCATTCCAGAGTTCTTTTCTATTAGTCAAACTTTTTTGTAGAACCTTCTTTCCCTTGCCCTGGCTTCTTACTTGCTGGTTTCCTTATGTTTGGGGCACATGCAGTGAAGAGACTGATTGGAAGGGGAAATGTGCAGCTCTCGACCCCTCCCATCCTGATAAACAAGGTTTACATTTAAAACTAAAAGGATTCAGAGATGCAATTTTCAACTTTTCTGAAACCAGCAGGACACACCTGACTTTAATAGTTTTAGCTGAAATTGTAGATGTTTTTCTTCAGTTTAACTTATGAGAAAAGATTATCTGATGCATTTTGTGTTGACTTCCCCTTTAGTGGTTTATTTTGTCTTTTTCTGCCCATGTCTACTAATAAAATGTGAAATAAAATACCTGTATTGCTACTTCCCCATGAGATGACCCTCTTTTTTTTACCTTGTGTTAAAAAAAACAAAAAGGTGGTCTCACTGTTAACCTTGCAGATTATGCCAAGGCCCAGCTGAAAAATTAGACAAAAACCAAAACTGGGGGATCTGCCTTTCTAACTTACCTCCCTGCTGTATGCCCAATCTTTTCAAGCTCCTTACAGACATGGTCATTTGTTAAACTTGATTCTGAAAACAGGAGTCAATAGGAGTATGTCAGTGAGGGACTGTTTCACTGTCTTCTGTTTTCCTAATTTCCTGCTGCTAATAGCAAGGATCAGGTAGATCACCTTAATAAAAGTACTGACTAATTTTAGTTGTAGACACTTGCCCTTTTTTCTAGTTAAGATCCTAAGCTGTGGGTTAATAGGAGTATTGGTCCCATCACAATAGGACCATTGCTTTTCAATTGGAGAGGCCAAACACAGAAAAAGTAGATTTTGACCCTAGTCTGGTTCTGACACAATGACCTGACTAGCCATTTTATTTCCTTATTTAACCTGGTCTGAAGCAGTGATTTAGGACTGAAAAGAGAGGCAAGAGCACCTTGGGCACACTTCCAGACGCTGAGCTGCCTGCCTGCGGGTTGAAGCACAGTTGTGGATGGCCAAGAGATCTGCCTCTCTCCTATGGCTCTTGGCTACTCTCTTGTTCTGGCCTGACCCAAGGTAAATGGTTGGTTGGGCCTTTCTGGAGCAGCTATGTAGCCGGGGATCCACCAGCCTACCTCATGACACCCTAAAACTCAATAGTCAGTCACATGTTCTACCACAGCTTTTGACTGCCAGTCAAGATGATTATGTTCAGTTGATAAACACCAAAAGACAGGTATACCTGTTCATACTTACTCTCCCTTAGGGTCTAGAACCCTGCTCTCTGTTCTTGGCTTTGCTTCAGATTGAAAAAGTCCCCTGAGGTTTGGAAAAGAAATTACCCTGCTCTGGTGTTCCACTTGACAGGGTTCTGTGGGATACTGCTGTATCCCTAAGTCTCTTAAGGCGATTTTAAAAAAAGCCAGGTTAACTTTGATCAACATGGCCTGGGCCCTGTGAGGAGGTTTAGCTGTCCTTACAGCCATTGTCATTTGGGCCAAGAGGGTCCAGTAAAAAGGAAAAACAATTCAAGCCTTTATAGCCTACGTCAGAAGACTGTGACCATGTCTCCTTTAGCCCTGTGAAGTCCAAGGCCTCTGCCCTGAGCTTCCCTTCAGTCATACCACACAGAGACCGTGCATGCTCTCAGAACTTTATTAGGTGGGGAATGGGCAAGAGAAAACACCTGAAACAGTTGCCCACCTGGTTAAAGACAACTGGAAGAGAGATGTGTTGCTTGGAGATTATCTTTGATTTTTAAAGGGGAGCTGAATGACTGAACAACTCAGATGATTATTTTTTAAATGGTCAGCTAGTCTCTAGTAAGTCTCTAGGGATATGACCAGAGCAGAAGCCCCTGTTCTATATGAAGAAAAACAGGTGCCCGTATTTGTGTTGGGTGGAGGGATATCACTACTATTCCCAAGATTTGGTGGAAGGGGCCATGACAGATGACAAAATGAACAGTTTCTCAGAAATAGAGGTATGAAGTAATTCCACAGGAAAGAAAACTAAAATAATAGTTTCCAAAGGAGTGAGACAAGTCGTGATTCTTCATTGGTACCTGACCCCTATACCCAAATAGCCTTGAACCAGCCTTCCAGAGACTGCCCCTAATGGCCCACTGGGCAGTGGCGGCTATGAAGAAGGCCTAAAGGCAGATGGGGTGGAGCGGCTTATTTTGCTACAGCAGAAAAGGGGCTTGAATGGGGAGAGCAGACCTGGCTAACATCTGCAGCCACCCCCGCCACTCCCCTAGACTTCTATCACATTTACAAATACATACATAAATACATTACATACAATAGCCAGTCTGGGAGGCAGGCTCCCCACAGAGGCACGGCTGACACAGTTAGTCTTGGGAATTCTAGGAAAGGGCACTGGGCTCCCATATATGTGCTCATGTGTTCTCTCCTGCCCAGGGTAAGCCTTGCCCCAGCCCACCCCTCTCTTCGGGTTTAGTTTGTCCAGTATGGAGAGTTGCCGTAGGCGGGTTTGGAGGCTTGAGACTTGGGCTGCAGGGAACTGGGCTGGCTGCGCTGACCTGAGCCACTCTGAGGAAGAGAAGGGAAGGCTGTCAAGGCTGGAACAGAACCCCTGGCCCAGAGCAGGGTGGCTGCCTCCATCACTGTGCTCACCTGGGCATCCTGTGGAAGGTGATGGTGCAGCAGCTGTGAGTGGGGCTGCTGGTGGGCTGGTAAGATGTGCAGGAATGGTGGGGGTGCATAGCCAGGGGCCGCTCCAGGGGCCAGGGGCCCAGTGGAACCCAAGGCGGAGGGCAAGCTGAAAGGTGGAGGGGTTCCTGCATGAAATCCCTGCTTGTCAAAAGTCTGCAGGGCAAAGAAGACAATAGTGAAGGTCAGGTTGTGCTGTAAACTCCCAAAAACCTATACACCCAACCCACCTTTGTCCCTCACCTGGGTCTTATTGTAGACAGAACCAGTCATATCAGGTAGACCGGTGGTGCTTGAAGGCACCGATACTCCTAGGAGGAAAAGCAGTTGTTCCCCACAGCAGTTGGTCCCAGCTCCAGGCTCCCCCACCTCCAGGGGCACTCGGGGGTTGCCCTGCCTGAGAAGGGATCAGGCAGGAGCCCACCACTCCAGGCCTTATCCTGCAAAGAAGAGGTTAACACTACCTTTGCCAGGTCCAGAACCTGCAGACTTGTTTGGTGCCTGTGATGGTCCACCATAGCCACCTTTGGTGTAGTCTGCTGCTGCTGTCCCTTGGGTCAAGTCATCATAACCTATAGTGGCAGGGTACAAGAGGAATGTGTGAGCCAGGCAAGCCTGTCTGACCCCATGTCTTGTCTGTCTGGGAAGCACCACTCACCTGTACTGTAGCCATGCTGACCATAACCACTGGCCTGCTGGAAAGGAGGTGTTGGGGCACTCAGGTTCACCCCATGCTGCTTGGCTGAGGCTGGAGGGACCTGGGAGGGGAAGCAGATGAGGTATAAGTGTAGAAGCACGCAAGCTGAAACTGGTCGGGTACCCCTGCCAGAGCCTAAGGCAGCAGGTGACATACCCACCATCACAGGGGACCTGTGTTTTCATTAGTGCAACACATGCTGGATCTAAACACAGCAGAGGAAAGTGACCTTGTTACCAGCATGAACAAGTCCTAAAGGCCAGATAAGATGAGTGGAATTATGACCCTCCCTCCCTGATGGAAGATAGGTCCCAGGTTTTCACCTGCCAGCAACCCAAAGCCAGGATACACAGTCACACCTGCTGAAATACTCACAAACATGGTGGGGCCATATTGGAAGGCACTGGGCATGCCTGTGTAGTAGGGAAGGCCAGTGTAGCTATAGCCAGGTGGCAGCGCAGGGTTCAGGAAGGGCTGTTGGGCTGTGTGGTGGGTCTGTGATTGGCTCTGCTGTGGCTGAGCTGGTGTGGTAGGGGGTGCAGGGGATGCAGAGTCCCCACGGCCAAATTTTGTGACATCACCTAGGAGAGAGCACTGACTCCAGCCACTGCCCTTCCTCCAACAAGAGACAGGCCAGGCTGGCTCCTGCGAACAGGAACTGGTCTGGTTGCCAGCTCGGCACAGGCCACCAAGAGGCCTCTCAGCCCTGCTGCTGCCGCTGCTTCCCAGCTCCTGGAATTCACGCTAGGCCAGCGCACTCCTCATCCACTGAGCAAACTCACCTGGATATGGATTACTAGCTAGGCTCCCATCTCGGCCAGCAAGTGCTGTGGGTGCAGCAAAGGGAATTCCATAGTAGTCCTAGGAAAGACCAGGGAGACCTGATCAGCAACTGGCCTTGCCCAACTCCCAGGAGAACAGAACCAGGACACAAAAGTCTAGGTGACACCACACTCCTGAAATGGACTGCACAACTGAAAGCCAGCAGTCTCAGAGAACGGCAAGTAAATGGTGCCCGTAGGCAACTAGGTAGCCTGCCTAACGCATGAGCACACAGACTGGCCAACCCTGCAGTTTCGCCAGGCAGAGCCCTGGAGACCAAGTTTTACACATCCATTTGACACCACAGGCAGATGCTTGTGTGAGTGCTTCGAGCTGAACCAACCTCGTTGGCTTTTGTGTGTGAGAGACTACAGAGCACCTAGGAAAGCTGACTTAACAGAGCAGACCCAAAAAAGGAAGCAAAAGAAGAGCAGGGGCCTGAAAGGTTTCAGAGGAGACGGGGCAGTGCCAGGTAGGCACAGGAATAAGCAGGACTCCAGGTGAAGCCTGGAACTGGCCTGTCACCACCTACTCTGCCCTCAAAACACTGACATGGCCTGGGACAAGCTTGTCCAACCCGCAGCCAGTGACGGCTTTGAATTGGCCCTACACAAATTCATAAACTTTCTTAAAACATTATGAAACGTGTTTGCAATTCTTTAAGTTCATCAGTTATAGTTAGTGTTCATGTATTTTATGTGTGGCCCAAGACAATTCTACTTCCAATATGGCCCAGGGAAGCAAAAGATTAGACAGACACCCCTGGCCTAGGACTTGGGGGAAGGATGGCAGATACAACACAGTGCGGAGCAGAGATGGCAAAACACCGTGGAGCTGTGTGGAGGAGGCCTGACCTGACCCTCACCATCCAGGGCCTCACACTCCAGGACACACCTGGTCCCTGAGGAAAGGGAAAGCCCTTGGGTTGTGCCCAATCACAGCCAGAGAAGAGCCATCCTGGCTGGAATGGCACTCACACCCTCCAGGAAACCTCCCAGAAACCCACAGCAGCCTACAACCCCTGGGGGAGGCAGAGTTGGGAAGGCACAGGAGAAAGCCCAGAAGAGGGAGCCCTTTCACAGACCATGAGAAATCTCCATGCTGGAACTAGGCTTACAAGCGGCAGAGGTTAACAAACAACCCGAGGGATAGAAAGAGCAACATATCAGCAGGGTACGGTGGCTCACACCTGTAATCCCAGCATT